AAATGGTTAATATCTGCACACACTTTTTTTTAACTTAAGCTCTGATTCCACTCAGCCTAAAGATGGTGAGAAGCCATATCTCCAAGTTTCTAGCCAAAGTCTAAATCTACATCCCACAGCCAATATCCCAACAATGCTACTCACCTAGGAGATTTAGTTATCTGCTAATGGTTCAGATGTTAGTCCATGATGGGCAAACATTTGTGATTCTATTTGAAAAGCAATCAGAATCCTTCTTGGGACTGCAGAAAATATTCAGGACAGGCCGTTTCCCCAACCTCTAAAATAGAGGGGCCCAATCTTGTCCAACATCACGACTGGCTTAGGAATTCTGAGAATTGGATTCTGCAAGCCTTAAAGTTGTCAAGTTTGGAGACCCCTGCTGTAGAGAGAAGATGACTTTGAGGGATCTTTGAAGGATACAGCAGAAGTTCCTACGTTTCTCCATCAGGATCACCTTCCTCACTCTTTCCCAGCGTTTCTCAACCTTGGCAACTTTAAGACTAGTGGACTTCAAATCCCAGAATTCCCCAGCCAGCTGGTTGGGGAATTCTGGGATTTGAAGTCCACTAGTCTTAGTGGACTGGGGAATTCACCCCAGTGAATTCAGGTTGGACACCTTTATTTTAGAGATGGGGAAAAACGGCCTGTCCTGAACATTTTGTGCAGTCCCGAGAAGGATTCTGATTGTCTTTCAAATGTTTGCCCATCTGGGACTAAAATCTGAGCCATAGCAGATAACTAAATCTCCTAGGTGAGTAGCTGGCTGGGGAATTTTGGGAATTGAAGTCTGCTGGTCTTAAAGTTGCCGTGGTTGGCCAGCCTTACCCTAAAGAAATCTTAGCAAAGAGCATCCGAAGAACAAAAGAGGTATTTGATCAAAAGAGCACCTGGATAAAATTAGACAAGAATACCCAGACGCAAAAGCGTGAGAAGAAACCATTAAAGCGGAATATGACCAAGCACCTTGGCAGTTATCTTAATTGTCTTTTTCCTGTGAATGTTATCCCTGTAACATGAATTCTGATTAAAGGCAGCGCAGAGACGTTCAGGGCTCCCGGTATCTTCTGCCTGCAGTTTATCAGAGGAACATATCAGTTCTCAGACGGAATTAATGAAGAGCGGGAGACGGACTCACACAGTTTCGTGTCGTTCAGAAACCACAATCCAGCAAACATAACCAGGATCTTTGCTGCATTTCTCCAGAGTTGTGAGCAAAGGTTTTCACACCCTTTCTGGGGGGGGGGGGGATCGGGAATTTAATTTGAGACTTTCTGTTGGCAAGGCCTTCGTAATAGCTCTGCGTGCATAGATGCCCCGAGTGCGTTGAGAGGGATTAAAATTAAATGGATTAAAATATCAGAAGAACTCTTGTGCTTTTGGGGAGAGGTAAAGGACATGGTAGCTACATGAAATTACAATGTTAGATAATGGATATTGAGGAGTAGAATGGGAAACGTGGGGTTCTGTCTGAATTCTTCTGGCTGTTTTCCTGTGTTGCAGAGTTGAACACCATGTGCAAGCTTGTGTTCACTGCCTTCAAATATGGTGAAGGTTGCTGGAGTTTTTTTTTATTTAGGATAGCTAGCAAATTCATTCATCCCATCCCATCTTCTATCCAAGGACATAACACAATTCTCCCACTTCCCATTTTTCCATGAGGAAGCCCTTCCCTAGCCAAGAGTGGACCTCAATCTGGGTCTTCCAAACCTTCTAGCATCTGAGGAGGCTTTCTACAATAAGCAAGGTGGTAGACATGGTATCCTTCTACAAGACCTAACCCTTTTGTGTGCACATTGGCATCTACAAAAGAGGTTGGACTTCTATATATCCACCTTCTTGCCAGTACTCCACAGATGTCAATGCTCCAACACTAGTCCAACAGCTAAGCCACAGCATGACCATCACTCAATTCACCCAATGCAGAGGGAAACTCATCTTGCTTTTTATAGACTAGACTAGACTAGACTAGACTAGACTAGACTAGACTAGACTAGAATAGAATAGAATAGAATAGAATAGAATAGAATAGAATAGAAAAGAATAGAATCTGGAAGGGACCTTGGAGGTCTTCTAGTCAACCCCCTGCTTGAGAAGGTGACCCTATACCATTTCAGACAAATGGTTGTTCAGTCTCTTCTTGAAATCTCCCAGTGATGGAGCACCCACAACTTCTGACAGCAAGCTATTCCATAGGTTGATTGTTCTCTCCTTTAGGAAATTTCTCCTTAGTTCTAGATTGCTTCTCTCCTTGGTTAGTTTCCATCCATTGTTTCTCTTCTTGCTTTGGTGCTTCTGCCAGTAAAGAGTCCTGGAAAGGAGCACAAAAGAATTCTTACCTCTCTCTTCTGTGGAACAATTTGCTATGAATAATGGCTGCCGTGGAAGGCACACATATTGAATGTCTGGAATGAGGAACGTGTTCTCGCTAGCTTCCTTACCTTGCCAGCTTTCTGATAGGTAACTCTCTATCACTTCCAGAAGCCTTCTGCAGAAAGTGGAGGAAGCTGGCTGGAAATAATCAGAATCATGCAGAGCACCACAGATTGGACAACATTTCTTCTGCTTTATTTAGCACAGTGCTCAGTTGCCGGAGCTCAGGCTCCCGAATATTTACAGCCTCATGCTGCTTCCCTCACATCAGCCCTTTAAATGGTTGCCCATGCAGAGAGCTTCTATGCAGCTTTTTTCCTGAGCAAAACATTTTCTTCCTTCAGCCATCCATCCTTGCTCTAACTGGCCAGCTGAGCCTCTGCAGGCAAGAGAAAAACATTGGAAAGACTTACAGTTCCCTTAGGGCTTGAAAACAACCCATTTGGCCATCCAACCAATGGCCGCACTTCTTTTGAACTTTGGGGAACCACCACCATGCCTGCAGTCGGGCAGAAATTAGACATCCCCACCTTGTTAAACTTTTTGCCACGTAGGATTCATCTGGCAACTTCTGAGTTTTGTCTAAACTGCCCAATCCCTGGGCGGTCATTCAAATTACACTATCTGTTGGATATCTCTTCTAAAAGCTAAGCCAGAGAGAAAACATCCTGTAACTCGGGTGAACTCAGGACCGTTGGTGATTGGTGATTGTATTATTACAGAATAATAGAATTGAGAGGGACCTTGGAGATCTTCTAGTCCAACCAGTCTCTTTTAAGAAGAGACTGGACAGCCATTTGTCCAAAATGGTGTAGGGTTTCCTGCCTGAGCAGGGGATTGGACTAGATGACCTCCAAGGTCCCTTCCAACTTTACTACTATTACTATTACTAACCCTGCTCAAGCAGGAGATCTTATACCATTTCAGACAAGTAGCTGTCCAATCTCTTCTAAAAAACCTCCAGTGATGGATCACCCACAACATTTGAAGGTAGGATGAACATGTCAACAGTCCTACTGAAGTGTGTGTGTGTGTGTGTGTGTGTGTGTGTGAATGAATCAATGAATCAATGCATTGGTGGAATCAGCTCAGGTCCGTTGCTAAGTTGGATGGAATTGGGGAATGCTCCAATTTTTAGCCGAAGATTGAAGTTTTATCAGGTATCAGGACTGTTGGTGGTTGATGATAAAGGTGCCGCTGAGTGTAAGATGCAGAATACAGAACAATAGAGTTGGAAGGGATCTTGGAGGTCTTCTAGTCCAACCCCTTGCTAATTTGGATGGGATTTGGGAATGTTCCAATTTTTAGCAGAAATTGCATCAGGTATTAGATAGATGGAAAGATGTGGTTAGATCTTTCTAAAAGAGCGCAGACCTGACTTTGAGAAGCGGGAAGGTTTTATAATGGTTAAACTAAGAAGGTAGACGTGTCACCATTAGCTCAGTATGGCCAGATTAACTGGCTCATTCCACAGTCCAAAAATGGAATCAAGAGATTTTCCAAGCTCTTCCTAGAACGGTTAGGGATCAGCCTGGGATTGTGTTCAAACCAAGCAAGGGTTCTGCTAACTACCATTCTCCATTTAAAAAGAGACTTTGTGGCAATCATCTGTTTGTATTAGATAGTAACCGATGTATTCAAGAAGAGACTGTCTCAGCTTTGAGTATTTTTTAAAAGAATAAGAATATAAAAATATTTGAAAATGACTTTCCTTCCTTGTCAACATTCCACTAATGGAATGCTGGATTTGCTTAGGAGCTCTCTGATACAATCAGTGGTAATTCCTCCTGTGAAATCACCTGAAACTGTAATCATCTGAAAGGGTTCTTGTGATAGTCAGTCTGACACTTAAGAGAACTTAGATCAGGTACAATCCAAAGAAAAGACACTCTGATTCAGTCTGCCTTGAAACCGAACACCTTCTCCATTGCCAGATCAGACCCCAGCCCACTGGTCAGGCAGAGCTGGAATCCTAAATCATATTATTGTGTTATGATAAGGATGTCCAATCAGAAAGACTAACAAACCAATCATGTATCACCTAAGCTTCAAAACTCATTACAAATGTTCCAGGCTTTCTGCTGACAGCAGATCAACACCATCAACATCAGATGTTGTGATTTCTGTTGCAGCAGGTCCAAACATCTCTCTGTCTCTCTGTCTCTGTCTTTCCCTCTCTCCCTCTGTCTTTCTCTGTCTCTCTCTCCCTCTCCCTCTCCTTCTCCCTCTCTCTCTCTTTCTCTTTCTCTCTCTTCCTCTCTCAACATTCAGAAGGACAGCGTGACAGCATCTGTTGGCCATGAAAATGGAGAAGAACATCTCTCTACTCTGAGACACAATCTATTTTGGGGGGTAGACCTGACTCCTTTTTCTCTGTTCTTGAAAGCTGGCAAGGATCTGGAAGGTGTAGCAGGAGATCTTAGGTCTGGAAACCAGAGTGGGAAAACATCCCCAGAAAAAGAAGCAAGAGAACATGGATTTGTCCTGATACAACTCAAATCTACATTCAGTGGGAAAAATATTTTTCCTGAACTCTGGAAAGCAGCAACACCCGTGTTGTTTCCTTCCAAAGTTTTGCCCCCTTGCCTGGATTAAAAGTATATTTACATATTGGATCCTTCCCTTACCTGCACTTGTTTATTGTTCTTCCTCAGGGAAAACTGCTCCCCATTACTTGGGCAGAGATAATCCCTTGCTTCTTTAAATCCTTATGCCAAGGAGAGCTAATGGGGGAATGAGAATAAAAGAGCTTCTTAATGAGCTGATTCCAACTTGCATTAAAGGGAGGGGGGAAGCAAACACCATTAAAGATACAGAAGTTCTTAGGTTGCTCATAAAACCCAGCTGTTAACTGGGTAGCAGACGCAGTTGAATGGAGAGACTCTTCCTTCTTTAGAAGGGAAAGGAGAGAGGATCTGACCAGTGGAACCTTGGGGGGAAAGGAAAAGGAAATAAAAGAGGAGAGAGAGTAAGCTGTCCAGGCATTGATCTTCCTGTTTGGGGGATGCTGCAACGGGAGTTAATTTTTGGAGGCTGGTGGAGGGAGGAGGGAGGAGGGAGGAGGGAGGTTTCTGTTTGCCTTCTCCGCCTCTCACTCTCCCCTTAATTCCACTGTTTCCCCCTTTCTTCCCCTGCCAGGGAGATGCCACCATGCAAGGATCCAGAAGACTCACAATCGGAAAATATGATCCCTGGGGAAAGATCGGGATTAGTCACCTAGGTCAGTTGCCCTCTCCCCACCTGGAATAGCTGTGCATTGGATCCCCTTTCCTTTCCTTTCCTTTCCTTTCCTTTCCTTTCCTTTCCTTTCCTTTCCTTTCCTTTCCTTTCCTTTCCTTTGCCTTGCCTTGCCTTGTCTTTCCTTTCCTTTCCTTTCCTTTCCTTTCCTTTGCCTTGCCTTTCCTTTCCTTTGCCTTTCCTTTCCTTTCCTTTCCTTCTCTATCTCCTTCCCTTTCCTTTCTTTTCTTTGCCTTTCCTTTCCTTCCCTATCTCCTTTCTCTTCCTTCTCTATCTCCTTCCCTTCCCTTTCTTTTCTTTGCCTTTCCTTCTCTTTCTCCACGTCCCTTCTTCCTGCCACCTGACGACCTCCAAAACGACCCGTTAGGCTTCCCAATGGTTCGCCAAGGTGGCTAGGCTTAATCCCAGCTGCTGGGGGGCTTTTGACGGCGCTCCTTCCCCTCGCCCGCCCTCCCGCGCTTCTGCTATTTCGCAAGAAACTCAAACCGAGAACCGGCGAGGCTAGAGCGACGCCCGCACACGGGCTGGGACCGCGCGGAGAAGGGAAGCGGCTAGCGGGAGGCGCAGGGACGCGTGTCCGGCGTTTCCAAGCCTCCCCTCTCTTCAAACAATCCGCCGGCTCTTTTGTGCGCGCGCACGGAGGAATAAGAACCGCGTTTCGGGCTGGGGGAGAGCCAGCGTGACCCTGGCGAGGAAAGCTGCAAGTCTGAGCGGGGGCAAGCTTCTGCCTTGGCGCCCTATGGGGGCGCAAACCAGACGCGCGCGCCGGAGCATCTCCGCCCGCCTTGGCCGTGGGAACCAGGAGCCAAGCGCGGAGCATCCCTCGCGTGGACGCGCTGCCGGCCGGCGCGCGCGTGCCAGAGCGCGGGAGGTGGTGGCTGTGGCTGTGGTAGTGGTGGTGGTGGAGGAGGAGGAAGAGGAGGAGGAGGAGGAGGAGGAGGAAGAGGAGAAGGAGGAGCGCATGCGTGTCGCCCGGGGCCACTGCGCGGGTCGTGCGAACGCGCGGTCTTCCTTGCCTGCGCGGGCCGGGGAACTGGTAAGTAGCTTAGCCCAGCGCCGTCAGCCTTTGCCCAGCTTCTCTTTCCCGGCCGGCCGCGAAGAACAGCGGACGGATGCTGCCCGCTCGGCGCGGAGGGCGTAATTCAAGCTCATCGGGATCCGCGTCTAGGAGGCAAGAGCCGCGTTCCCACCATTCGGCTTTGCGCAGGGCTCCCGGGGTTGGGGGTGATGGGGGGGGGAAGCGAGGGGGCGCTTCTCCCCCGGTGGGCTCCGGTTCCTCTGCGGCGCCCGTCCGGAAGGGAGGGGGGCGCGTGTGCCTGAGTGTGAACGAGTGTGTCAAGGGGGAGCGAGCGAGGCGGTACAAGTTCCTTGCACGCTTAGGAGGCACCCCAGAAACTGCGGGCCGGGAGGAGGGAGGGAGGCTCGGGGGTGGGGTGGGGGGAATGGGGGGGGTTGCAAGTAGCGCCGATTTGGAACTGTCCTGCCAAGTGAAAGAGGGGAGGCTCCGACGTTGGGGATGGGGGGGAGGAGGAGGAAGGAGAAGGGGGGGCTGCGCTTCGCTCCTGCGGGGAGAGCTGCATGCTTTGGGGGGGGGAATGTGCGTGGGATGAATTCCTCCTTTGCCGATGGATCTCCGTCCCCCTCCCCTTTTCCTCTGGAGATCCACGTGAAAAGGAGATGCTGGATTTTTGGGGAGGGGGCGCCTCGGATGCCCCCTCCTTCTCCATCGCTACAAAAGACGCCGGCCGATGCTCCGGATCTTTTCCCGGGTGGGCCGGCTCCCGAAGGAAGCAAGGAAAGAAGAGGGGAGGGAGGGAGGGAGGAAGGAAGGAAGGAAGGAAGGAGGGAGGGAGGGAGGGAGGGAGGGAGGAAGGAAGGAGGGAGGGAGGGAGGGAGGGAGGGAGGGAAGGGAAGGGAAGGGAAGGGAAGGGAAGAGAGGGAGGGAAACACTACAGAAACCCCCATCCTACCCTGCGCTCTCCGTTTCCAGCGGTCTCCCCCCTCCCCTGGGAACTGCCCCCTCCTCCCCGCCGCCACCGGAGCCTGGCGATCCGGGAACAGCGAGGCTGCGGCATCAGCGGCGAAGCACTGCGGTGGAGGCCACCCGCGCCCCCCCCCTCCCCACATCGCCCGGGATCTCCCCGGGATGAGGTAGGGAGAAGCCAGCCCCGCGGCCTTCGGGCTTGGGGAGGTGGGCTGTAGGGCGAACTATCCGAATCTCCCTCCTCCGTTTCTCATCCAGGCTCTCCCGTCCCAGTTGCAAAGCGGTTATGGCTCCAGAGCATCCCCGGCTCTCTCTTTTTTCCTGATCGATGTTCGCGCACCCTCCTCATTTTGGCCAGAGAGGACCATTCTTCATCTCTCTGTGGTCTCCATGCTAATTCCAAATCCTTCCTTCCTTCTTTCCTTCCTTCCTCTCTCCAACCCATCTATTTCCTTCCTTCCTTCCTCCCTCCCTCCCTCTCCCTCCCTACTTTCCATCCCATCTTCAGCCTCCCCCCCCCCACACACACACTATTTTGACCTCTACTCCTGCCTCTGGTTGTTTGTACCCCTCTGCAGGTTTCTTCATTGGGATCTATCAAGTTCCAACCTTGTGGGTTTTTTCCCCCCTTCTGGTCCACCTTATTCCTTCTTTTTTTCTTCTGTGCCACATGGACACTTCAGGGGTCTCCTGAATGTTCCTCCAAACCTCTTTCAAATTCTTCTTGGCCCTCCCTGGGAGCCCACTTTTTCCTCTTAGAAATGTGATTTTTATTATTTTATTCTTGGGCACAAGGATATTTTTCCTCAATATCCCTATTGTTCTTATTCATAGATTCTCTCTTACACGTGATCTCTCCCTTTTCCCCTCCCTCTCTCCCTTTTTCTCTCTCTTTCCTTCTCTCTCTTTCCTTCTCTTTCTCTCTCTTTCTTAGACCAGTATTCCAGAGATATTCTAGAAATAAAATATCAGAAATATTCTAATTTGACTTTTGGCTCCAGTGGTTTGGAAAAGCTCCTGGGTCAGGCAAAGACATGCAAATTAAGGGCAGCCTATTTCTTTTAAGGAGATGTGGATAAGAGCCATCTGTCTTTGGATCAGATTATGTAAGAGGTGCATGGAAAAAGTTCCAGGACAGTTTCAGTGACATCACTCTAATGAGGTATGAATTCATGTTCTCCCTACCAATGTGGGTGTCCTTTCCAGATAAGCGATTGGTTTGAAGTTCTGATCATTTGATCCCCATCAAATGATGGATACTGCAATTGAAATGGGGATCTACTCTCTTCCCACACTGCACCATTTTTAAATTCTCCTCCCCTCAATATTAAAGAGTATCGGGCATGCATCAATGGCTGGCTTAGAACTCCTAATCAATCGAATCGATCATGTATTTATCATTCATCACCTAGAAGAGTGGGCTCCTGTGTGTTCACCCTGGATCCCTATCTTCCTTCCCTCTTTCATGGGATCTCTCTCTCCCCCCCTCCCCCCTTCTCTTGACTTTGGAATAGAGTGTGTGTTGCTTCCAAGGACGTGATCAAAATCTTTCAGGGTCCATGCAAAATGGAGGGCCGCTTTGGAATGCTAAGCATACCTTGAAAGGGAAAAAAAAGGTGGTGGAGGGGAAGATAAATGCCATTGGGGGGGGGAGGTTTGTAATGTTATTTGGCTTTGCATGCCCTCCCCAAAGCAGAGGCTTTGCATTGGGAGTTGTGCATTATGCATGTGTGTCAGAGAGAGAGAGAGAGAGAGAGAGAGAGAGAGAGGGAAGGAGGGAGGGAGAGAGAGAGAGAAAGAGAGAGAGAGAGAATGTGGCACAAGAAGAAGAGACGGAGAGACCCAAAGCAAAACAAACAAAGGAGGAAAAGAAGCAAAAATCGAGAGTTCTAATTTTAAATGCAGAGTTCATCTATTCCCTATATGAATTGTCTAGCCCCCTTCTCGTTTCTTGGCAGGCAGCAGCTCCATGTGTGCATAATAACAAAATAATGTTGAATTATTGAATGATGAACTCCCCACCCCAACCCCAGGTCTTATACAATGAATCCAACTGTAGAGATTACTGAGATTTGAATAGAATTACTGAGTTGGAAGGGACCTTGGAAGTCTTCTAGTCCAGCCCCTTGTTCAGGCAGGAAACCCTATAACATTTCAGATAAAAAAAAAAAAAATCTTCCAGTGTTGAAGTATCCACAACTTCTGGAGGCAAGCAATTCCACTGATTAATTACTCTAACTGTCAGGAAGTTTCTCCTTAGTTCTAGGTTGCTTCTCTCCTTGATTAGTTTCCATCCATTGTTTCTTGTCCTGCCTTCTGGTGCTTTGGAGAATAGCTTGACCCCCTCAAATATTGGAATACTGCTATCATGTCACTCCTAGTCCTTCTTTTCATTAAACTAGACATACCCAATTCCAGCAACCGTTCTTTATATGTTGTAGCCTCCAGTCCCCTGGATTAATAACTTTATTATTGTCTTGTCTTATCAGTTATTCCTTCCATTCCAGAACGTTGGTCACTAAAACCTATGTTCTTTGTGGGTTTTTTTTAGACTATCCATCTTTGTTCTGGAACAGTAGGCTTGATCAGTGACCTGAGAAAGATGCTCCTCTGGCTTTTTCTGGTGTTGTCCAGCCCAGCTTCCTCTACAGATCCAGAAACGGATGCCTTGGTGGAAATCTGCAATGTCTGCTCCTGTGTGTCGGTAGAGAATGTCCTTTATGTCAACTGTGAAAAGGTGGCTGTTTACAGACCCAACCAGCTGAAGCCCCCTTGGTCTAATTTCTATCACCTCAACTTTCAGAATAACCTGCTGATTATCCTGTATCCAAACACGTTCCTTAATTTTAGCCATGCGGTGTCTCTGCAGCTGGGAAATAATAAGCTACAGAACATTGAAGGAGGAGCGTTTATGGGTCTCGGCGCGTTAAAACAGTTGCACTTGAACAACAATGAATTAAAAGTCCTCCGAGCTGACACTTTCCTTGGCATTGAGAACTTGGAGTATCTCCAAGCGGACTACAATTTAATCAAATATATCGAGCGGGGAGCCTTCAATAAACTCCACAAGCTCAAAGTCCTCATTCTTAATGACAACCTGATTTCTCTCCTACCTGATAATATTTTCCGGTTTGTGTCTCTGACCCACTTGGATATCAGGGGGAATCGCATCCAGAAACTGCCCTACATCGGCGTTCTGGAGCACATCGGGCGCATTGTGGAATTGCAACTGGAGGACAACCCGTGGAATTGCACCTGTGACCTTCTGCCTTTGAAGGCCTGGCTGGAGAACATGCCCTACAACATCTACATCGGAGAAGCCATTTGTGAGACCCCCAGCGATCTCTATGGGAGACTTTTGAAAGAGACCAACAAACAAGAACTCTGCTCCATGGGGACGGGGAGTGATTTTGATGTCCGCATCCTGCCCCCCTCCCAGCTGGAGCCCAGCTTCAGTACCCCCAATGGTCACACCACACAAACTACGATGCACCGGTTGGTCACCAGGCCTCCCAAAACGACCAACCCATCTAAAATCTCGGGCATTGTGGCTGGGAAGCCCTTCTCCAGTCGCAATCTGAGTCAAATTGTGTCGTTTCAGACCAGGATGCCCCCTCTGACCCCTTGTCCACACCCCTGCATTTGTAAAACCTACCCTTCAGACTTGGGATTAAGCATCAATTGCCAAGAGAAAAACATCCATTCCCTGGCCGAGCTGGTCCCTAAGCCTCTGAATGCCAAGAAATTGCATGTTAATGGCAATTACATCAAGAATGTGGAGGTGTCTGACTTTGTCGACTTTGAAGGGCTGGATTTACTCCATCTGGGCAGCAATCAGATTGTGGCCATCAAAGGGGAAGTTTTCCACAACCTGAGCAATTTACGGAGATTGTATCTGAACGGCAATCAGATTGAGCGGTTGAGTCCCGAAATGTTTGCCGGGCTGCATAATCTTCAGTACCTCTACTTGGAATACAATGTCATCAAAGAGATTTTAGCAGGCACGTTTGACCTGATGCCCAACCTGCAGCTCCTCTACTTAAACAACAACTTGCTGCGAAGTTTGCCGGCTTACATTTTCTCCCGGGCTCCACTCGCTCGGCTGAATCTGCGCAACAACCATTTCATGTACTTGCCGGTGAGTGGTGTGCTAGACCACCTGAAAACCCTGACCCAAATCGATCTGGAAGGGAACCCATGGGATTGCACCTGCGACTTGGTGGCCCTGAAGCTGTGGCTGGAAAAACTGAATGAGGGCATTGTGGTGAAGGAGTTAAAGTGTGAGACCCCCGTGCAGTTTGCCAAGATTGAACTGAAGTCTCTCAAAAATGAGATCCTGTGTCCCAAACTCCTCAAGTCATCTTTCTTCACCAGCCCGGCGCCTGTGCTGACTTTTACAACCCCTTTGGGCCCTGTCCGCAGTCCTCCTGGGGGTCCAGTCCCCCTGTCCATTCTCATCTTGAGCATCTTGGTGGTCCTCATTCTGACAGTCTTCGTGGCCTTCTGCCTCCTGGTCTTCGTTCTCCGTCGCAACAAGAAGCCTTCTTCCAAACACGAAGGGCTGGGCAACCCGGAATGCAGTTCGATGCAGCTCCAGTTACGGAAGCACGATCACGCTGGCCAGAAAAAGGACACCTTGGGGGCCGAAGCCTTCATCCCCCAAACCATTGAGCACATGAGCAAAAGACATTCGTGTGGCTTAAAAGAGGCCGAGACGGGTTTCATGTTTGCTGAGCCGGTGAGCCAGAAAGTCATCTTGAGGAACAACAGCGAGAAAGAGAAAGATCTGCTGCAAACGGATATCCGAAAAAGACTGAGTACCATTGACGAACTGGATGAATTATTACCAGGGCGGGATTCCAATATCTTTATTCAGAATTTTCTGGAAAACAAAAAGGAGTACAACAGTATAGGGATCAGCGGCTTCGAGATACGCTATCCGGAGAAACAGCCGGACCGAAAAAACAAATCCTTAATAGGAGGAAATCACAGTAAAATTGTGGTGGAGCAAAGGAAAAGTGAATATTTTGAACTAAAAGCTAAACTTCAGGGCTCCCCAGATTACCTGCAAGTCCTCGAAGAGCAAACGGCTTTGAATAAAATCTAGGCCATGCAATCTGATTTCCTACAGAGGACTTTTATTTAATGATGCAAGTGCCTTTTGTTGACTTTTCATTTCCAAATATGATACTCTCCCGATAGGCATAGAGGCAGGCAATCCAGGGGTGTGTGATAAAATTATAGCTCCAAATAGATTTTATTTCTTAAAAACTCTGCCCCATGAGGAAACGGTAGGGAAAACTGCAAAGACTCTATTGCCAAGGTGTTGCTTTATACACATATTACACTGAATTTAACCTCAAGAGGAATATATATTTTCTACCCTAACTGCAAAACTTTCATGTCCTTGTGATTTGTTTAAACAAATGCACAAGAAGAGAGAGAGAGAAAATGGGAAACAGAAGAAGCTGTTTAATGACAGAAAGAGAGAGAAAATGGGAAACAGAAGAAGCTGGTCCCTATGCTGGTGAATTTCACGTGGATTAAAATTGCTAAAGGAACTGAAATCAGTTTCAACCCTATACAAAGTGATGGATCAGCAGCCCTGTTTTAGCGATTACCAGAGATTTTACAAACCACAAAAGCATGCAAATGAAAGAACCTTCGATAGTTATGTGTAAAATTGGTTACCTTTACAGTCTGCATCTTGAAAACACTGGATTTATAATGTTAAAAATTGTGCAGAAATCTTTTTTTAAAAAATTATCGTTCATTGCATCCACACAAAAGCAATTTTGACCATCTAATACACGCCAGAAATCTGCATAAAATTGATTCAGATGAAACCCAAGTGGCAACAAGGACTGGAAGAAAAATACTTGATGTTTAAGACAAACCAACCCCCACCCTCGTGAAACTCCTGTCAACCCCCCAAGGTTGTCCAAATTTTCAAAAATTTGCTTGCTGTGTGAGCGTCTCAGAAATTATTTTTGTAATATAATTCATATTTATGAAGTACTTTGTATACTAAATAGGGGGAAATTATGTACTCCTCATAATGTATTTAAATATGCCTGATTTGTTTTCCTGGTCACAAAGGTGCATTAATCATTCAATATAATTTTAAAAAGAGAACCAATATACCAAACAGAAACTGTTGATGAAATGTATAGATTTATTTGAGAGTCAATGTGATCAGGTCTAAGAATAATAATGATGATTATGATAATAATAATAAAACTATGTTCTGTACTACTCTTGTGAAAACAATGGGGGGTCTTATTTAGATAAGTGACACCCGTTTCTGTGTCATATGTCAGTTTTGCCTGTCCTTTTTTTATTATTAGTAATGTTGGAATTTTAGGACTCTTTGAGGGGGTTAGTTTGGATGTGGTTTAAGTTGATGGAGTCACTAACAAGACAGGTTAATGATGTGTACAGACATTTCTGATTGGGTTGCAAAGTTGAATGCTGTTGATTGTGTTTCAGCTTACAACTGTCTAGGCCAGAGGCAAATTTCCCATGACATTTTGTGGCCTGAAAACTGTTTAACAACTAGCCTATCTTTTTCAGCCCCAGAAAATGATCAAACTAGAAGGGCTGCCAAAACCCTACTCATAAGTTCTCTCTGCTTTCTGATCCATTCTTAATAGATCCTCATTCTTGTGTGAGTGTGTGTGTGTGCCCTTTGAAGGTGCAGTATTCAGATGTTGTGGTTAGTTCCTAGTTTTTTAAGGATTTGGCCCCCTCTGGAGGAAGAAATTTAGAGCTGTAGTTTTTACTGATGTTCAGCTTGTAGTCAATTACAATTCCTATAAGCTTCTCAGCATGCTAATGGTGGCTTTCAGTTTGGTGTCCTGGTTCCCTGATGTCCTGATTGACTTGATGGAATGCAATGGTCCGTAATGTCTCAAAGGTGCTTTTTCAGGAGGCAACTTTCTTGTTTTTCTTTGAAGACATTTCGCTTCCCATCCAAGAAGCTTCTTCAGCTCTGACTGGATGGTGGGGAATGGAAGGATTTATATTCGTTGTAGATAGTTGGTCATTTGCATTCTTTTGGAGAGCTGTTGAGATCACTTGGAGGCTTACCTATGTCCTCGGGGTCACCTGAGTAGTGCAAATGGGTGTTGAGCCTTCTTGGCTACAGGATGTTTTCTGCCCTGGGTCCCTTCCTGGTTGAAGACAGGTGCAGGCAGTTGGGGATAAGTCTGTGTTGTCTGCATCTCAAACTGAGATGCAAATGGCTCCTGTCATCTGCAGTGTTTTCTGGAAAAAGCACCTTTGGAACAACCATGACCTGGATGATGGAGAATCTTCATAGACAGTGGTCCCTAATGTTATTTGGTCATGTTCAGATACTTAAGTGTGCCTAGATGCATATTTTCTCCCATCCTCTACAGTTGTAATTGCTTGAGTTAAATTCCTTCTGAAATCCATCATCATTCGAAGAAAGTTATAATAATCTCAGGGAAGCTAGATAATTAGCTGAGCATTAATGAATGGAAGATCTTTCCGTTGACAAAAGCTTGGACCAGATGGTGCTTCGGGGATCAAAATGTCACCAGTGGGAATTGAAATCAGGTATCTGTGCCTGGGTTTTTCGCTCCCTGGTGAAACAAAAGAGATAAGCCTCAAATTGTCTTAATGACAGAAAATTAGAATATGGAAATTGCCTTCGTATATTCAAGGAGTTTTGAAATTACTTTTTTTGGATGGGAAGAATGCTTTCAATAAGTAGAGGTCCATCTGTGGTCTGAAGTGATATGAATCAGAGGTATCTTCACCATCTGGTGCTTGCAGGAACAATGTTTAAATAATTGAATGAAAATTGAAAATACTGGAAAAGGAGGGCATTTTCATCCTGTGTGTATTGGTTTGTGGCGTCCTTGAATTCTCTCCCTCCAATCCAGGTTAGAAAGATTGGTTTGTTCAGTACCTTGTACATTGCAAAAGGCAAATATTAACAGGTGAACATGGAGGAAAACCGAACAACTCATTGGCCTGATGGACACACAGTAGACTTTGCTTTTATGTAATACAATGCATTGATTGAGGCATCCGGGTTTAGCAAAACAGGCTACTGTGGCTTATTCAAAAATCTGGTTAAAAGAATAAGGACTTGGCATCAATTGATGTATGTATTCAGGCATTGTGGTTTAGAATTATCAAGGAACTAAGTTTGCTATCAGATAGGAAAAATTCTATCATCTTACTTTATACTTATTTACAAAGAAGCTCACATTGAAGGAACACATCCAACGCAATGTTAGTGAATATTATTCAGTTTTGCAATGGGGGTGATGGAAGATTGGTGATATTTTTATCCTTTGTTCTCAAGAAATGCCAGATATCCAGGTGCATTCTTTGTACATTGTATTCAACATTAGACAAGATGCCATTGGATTCATGTAAGCTGTCAGATAGTCATCATGTAGCTCTCGAGGCCTACAGCCTTACATGGAGAATCCTGTCAACTCCACTCTCCAGGACTTTTTAGTGCTTTTTACTCATTTGTCAAAGATGGGTAAAATGCTGAACAAATAATATTGTCTTGCTTTCTCCTTCTTCTCCTCCTCTTCAAGTTCAAGTTGATAATGCTGTTTCTCCTTCAATTTAAAATAATTTCCTATAACGAACAGTTCCTTGCCCTTGCTAATAACTAGATGGCCCACGAGTGTGTCTGTGTGGATATTTTTGTCTTTAGAGTGGCCAAATTCTTTGTCTCCTCTGGGGTCTACAGCTTCCTTGGCTTCCTTTATTTCCATTGAATCCTTTTGGGAGGTTTTGAGGAAATGGCTCCTTTTCTTCTGATGTTCTTGCCTTCTTCCCCTGCAGAAATTTGTAAAAATAAAATCATCTACCCATTTTATCTATCCACAACTTTGTAGGAGTAATTTAAAAGTCCATGTGTGTGCTCCTCTGGGGATGCAGGAACATGCCTTGCAGTCTTTCCTGAAGGACTTGATGGAGTTGGATCCAGGATGGTAGAGATGGCAAAGAGGAAGTTGCTGTCTGGGAGATGTTCTCCCAGGAATTCACCTAATCTCCTAGAACTCAAAACCAGCAACAGGTACTATGTGAAAGATGTGAAAGAAAATAACTGCTCCCCTCTTGAAAGGTTGAGTCATACTTACATATATTACTGAACAATCATATCAGTCGGTTGATTTTTGTAGCTATTTGGTCTGACCTGCCTTGGTTTGGTTCTGTTCTGGAAACAGACAGCTTAACAATATGAACACACTGCATGGGCTTCCAGCCATTAATGGAGAAAGGTGCACATGCAGCATGGGCAAATTCTCATTGGTTATCAACAAGGCAGCACATTGCTTGGATTTGGAAATTATGGTGCGGGCTCTGTTGTTTCTCCACCTCCCCCTTCTTTTTCCAACTGGATTTTTGAGAGGTGACTATGTTGCCCCTGGTTTGGCTTCCTGTTTGAAATAATTGCTGTTGTTAGTAGTAGTTTTTCCATGGATATTGTAAACCATCCGTTCTGCAGTCTGATGTTGAAATATGCCATATCAGGCCATAAATGTAATAGCAGACTGTGATTATTGGTATAATGTATGTTTAGAATAGAATAGAATAGAATAGAATAGAATAGAATAGAATAGAATAGAATAGAATAGAATAGAATAGAATAGAATAGAAATTGGAAGGGACCTTGGAGGTCTTCTAGTCCAGCCCCCTCTCAAACAGGAGACCCTATACCATCTCAGACAAGTGACTGTCCAGTCTCTTCTTAAAAACCTCCAGTGATGGAGCACCCACGATTTCTGAAGGCAAGTTGTTCCACGGGTTAATTGTCCTCACTGTCAAGAAGTTTCTCCTTAATTCCAGGTTGCTTCTCTCTTTGGTCAGTTTCCAACCATTGCTGCTTGTCCTGTCCTCTGGTGCTTTGGAGAATACAGTAGTTTGACGCCCTCTTCTTTGTGGTTACATGTTGTGTTACAATAGGGGGGAAGGATGCTCTCTTTGATCTGCATATCTGTAATTATTAGTTCTGCATAGTTGTAATTCTTAGATCTGCATAGCTGCAATTCTTAGATCTGCAGAGGGAAAATGATTCCAACCGAACATCTATCACGCTAGACTTGAGAAAACCTGATGGCCATTGGTTGTTTTTCTGGATTGATGCCAAGGTCTTTAGAAACCAAACATGCAAGTTGCGTAACGTCTTGTCTTTTTTGGGTCCTTGGGGGTATCAAACTAAACAATTGGGTCATGGTAGAAAACAAACCTTTAATCCAGTTCCTCAATTTTCATCAGCAAATATGCCAGCAAAGGCTGACAGCGGTGAAGCTTTTGGGAAGCTAAGTCAGCACTTCTCCATGATCAATTGCTAATTTCGGAGCTTTCAGATTTTCACTCAGATGGGAGCTGTGCAGACAATCCTGGGCAGAAAGCCATGGGGAGAAGGGTGCTGCTGAATCAATCCAAAGGTCCATCTTAGTCAATATCCTGCTGTCAGAACCAGCCAGATTTCAAAAAATAATTGAATGTATAGCTTGGGAAGGTAGTTGCTTTGCTTTTTTGTAGATTCCTGGTTATAGATTTCATTTGTAAACAAAGCTAATAGTTATTGATAGATATGTCCCCTGACTCATCTTTTCAAAGTCAAACTCTGCAACAGGAGTTGCCAGACTTTGTTTAGCATCTACTGTTGATGTATTGTTGTTAGACTCTTGGGGGTGCATCGGTCAGCATGATTCTACTCTTTATAGAATCAGAGGAAGGTCCTGAACCCAGGGCTCTGTGCCAAATTTGATAGTAATATCAGGTTAATCATATAAATATCAGGTTTACAACATCAGAAGAAAACTGATGGACTTTTCATACACAATAATTATTCCGGGATCCCCTTGTCCATTTTTGAGAAGAGACCTCTTTTGTGGCTTCTGTTGTTAAGGAGTTTGACATCCCATCGCAAAAGGATCTTGGTTAGTTAGAAATGTAGATTGAAGAATATGGGAATTAAGTAGATCAATGCCTCTTTGTGACTTTTTCTATGAGGTCAAATGCCTACGTAACAGATGGATGGACCTGGTCTGCTTATAGTGCGTAGAAAAACAATCCTTGAATTGTAGATGATTAGAAGTGGTCTATGAATCACCAGTATGATGAAGCTGCTCAGAACACAAGGTTTTGGACTGCATTGGTGGAAATATAGTTTCCTGATATGAGTAGTAACGGTTCCAATTTATTCTGCCTTGGTCAAATGTCACTCTAGTAGTGTGTCCTTTTCGGGGAATCATTATTTAAGAGTCCAACAGTAATAGCATAATTTGGGATAATGGTGGGCTTGGCTATGCTGGATGGATTCCTACTTTGAGAAGGAGCTTGAGGTTCATACTTTAATGATCTCACCAATTCAAAATTCTATGAAGAAGTGCAGAGATCTGTCTGTAGTTCCTCTTAATAGACCGATGAGTACAATTCAACAGTGTTTTCTAGACTGGTAGAAAATGGTGGAAAGAAAGATTAAAAATAGGAGGCAGGTGAAAAGTAGTAGGAGGAAGCATTCAGGCAATAAAAGACAACTTTCATTTAGAAACGAAGGAGTTCTTCCCTGTAAATCTTGATCTACCTTGATCTACTTCCTACCTATATAGCTATGGCTGGGGAATCATAGGTTAGTGATGTGTGAAGTGCTTTAACAACCCATTGATGGGCACATCAGGTTGAATATAGCCACATAGTGGAATTGAATAGTAGAGAACAATGAAAACACAATGTCTCTGTTGTGTCAGAAAGCCAGTCTCGAGATGACATGTCAAAAGAAAGAGCAAAATTAATTAGCTGACCTTCTGCTAGACTCACATATTTGGAGGTTTAATGTCTCCACAACTGTTAGGATAAAGAAATACTCTCCCAGAGTACAGGGGAGAAGAAAGGATGGTCCTCACAATGGATTTTATTCATTTTACTGTTTCTCTGCAACTTAAATGTTAAATGCAGAAGGCTGGGAAAAGGTAGTCATCAGTTCCTCTTAAGCAGTGCTTCTCAAATAGTGGGGCGCGCCCCCCAGGGGGGGCACGAGGCTCCGTAAAGGGGGGCTCGTTTGACCTCAGCAAATACTGTCATATTGGATTTCTAGATCGGATCATCCGACTCACTCGCAAGCAGCAGCCCGACGCGGAGGACAACATGACTGCCAACGCACGTGACACATGCAAAGGACCCGATTGGATAGACATGATGCTCTATCCTGATTGGCCAAACCCGCCCTGTGACTTTTAGACCCGGAAATCGGTCCTCTGTACAGAAAAAAAAATTTTACAGTCGCGCGGGGGCGCGAAATGTTTTCTTCTTCCTAGGGGGGCATGACAGAAAATAATTGAGAAGCACTGCTCTTAAGCAAGAATGTCCAGACCCCTGGTTGTTATTAGGTGTGAGGAAAAAAATATGCACGCTTACATATATACCCAATAGTGAGGGTGTAGAATCTGAGATTTTTGCTTCTCTCATTGTGTGCTAGATGATAAATTCTGTTGCCTTTAGGGAAGGACGAGGGTTATAATTTAGCCAGCACATCTGGAGGTCCAGCTAATGCCTTAGAATCAGCAGCTCTGCTCTAATCTTTAAGACATGCTGTCTGGGTCTTGATCATTAATCAAAGCAAAAATCAGGAACAATTTTTTAAAAGCATCACATAAACAGTGGATGATTTGGGAGGCGAGATTCAGACAGGGATATTTAGAATAGGAAATAAACATTTGAGAAAGATACAATAACCAAAAGAGGTTCTGCTTGGAGATGTAGGCACTTGGTTTTTGAACATGTTGCTCTCCTTGTTTGCTAATAACAGAACAGAAAAAGAATAGATAACAGAATAACAGAGTTGGAAGGGACCTTGGACGTCTTCTAGTCCAGCCTGCTGCTCAAGTTGGAGATCCTATATCATTCCAGAGAAGCGGCTGTCCATTCTCTTCTTAAAAGCCTCCAATGATGGAGCACCCACAACTTCTGAAGGCAAGTTGTTCCACTGATTAATTGTTCTCACGTTAGGAAATTTCTCCTTAATTCTAAGTTGCTTCTCTCCTTGATTAGTTTTCATCCATTGCTTCTTGGCCTGCCTTCGGGCACTCTGGAGAATAGCTTGACTCCTTCTTCCTTGTGACAACCCCTATCATCTAGATCTTCTTTTCATTGGACTAGACAAACCCAGTTCCTGCAACCATTCTTCATATGTTTTAGCCTTCAGTTTCCTAACCATCATTGTTGCTCTTCTCTGCACACTTTTCAGAGTTCTCAACATCTCTTTTTATAATACGGTGTAGTTTTGTTCACCATATTATAATCTTGATATCCACCTTGAATAGCATAGATGACTCATTAGAAAACTCCAAATACTTTCCCAAAAGAACTTGTTTCATGTTCTTGGCTTCTAATTCTTGTTTATTTTCTTCTTCCATGCCTTCCCTGCATCCACGTGAATTTGCCTTTCCTTCCCTTGAGTCCTTGTCTTCTATCCATGTCCTTTGCTCTCCTTCATTTCACTGATAACATTCTCTAGAATATTGAGATTAAAAAAAATAGTTCTTTGCCCATTGAAAGCAGGTGGTGAAATTATTGCTGCTAAAGAACATTCACTGCTGAGTGCTGCAGAAATGGGAACTCTGTTTTTATGAGATCCAGGCTTTGCATGCCCTCAATGTCCCTCAAGCTTTTTTTAAAAGTCCTTTCAGCTGGATAATAAAACACTGCAAAGAAAAATGAAAGCACTGCAAATATTCTAGTATTTATTGGCCTACCAACCAAGTCTTTATAGGGATGACCAGATTGACAAGAGGGACGGTATCCATTATGAGTCTCCATCACAGTGTTTCTCAACCTTGGCAACTTTTATAAGATATGTGGACTTCAGCTCCTAGCAGGTTGGCTGGGGAATTCTGGGAATTGAAGTCTATATATCACAAAGTTGCTAAGATTAAGAAACTCTGCTCTATTAACCTCTCTGCCTCACTGAGGTCTCCTGGTGATTCTAGTCTGGTTGTGGATAACACTATCAACTTTCCTTTGTCAAATAAGCTGCTGAAAAGACTAGGTTTCCACATTATTATTATT